TCGAAACCCCCACAAACGTAAACGGGGATAGACTTGCGACAAACGAGAACTTTATGCTGGCTTCTGTATTCGAGATACCATTACGGTGATAAGAAATTTGCTTCGTTCATTATAATGCTCACAAAATCGTAACGATACATATAATCATTCTTTTTTTTCATTATCCTTTTAATCTTATTAACCTTCCGCTGATAACTGAAGCCTTTAAAGACATCATCTATATTTTGATTATGAATTTTGGTAGATAAAATTAAATATATAAAAAATAAATAAAATGAAATTTTATATTTGATGATAAAAATTCCTTGTTAAATTTTAACAGTTATACTGATTTTTTTAATTTTTATATAATCCGAAACAATAAAAAATTTGTTCTATTTCTTAAAAATCCCTACTATTGTGTTGATGAAAGAGTTAAAATTCGTTACTGGCCGAGAGAGTTAAATAAAATAAACGACGAGTGTGTCTCGGAAAAATATTGACAAATAAGTAAGTAATATTGCAACAATATCGTGATTGAAATCAGCTGTTCTTAAAGATGTTTTCACGTGCTGACTCTGATGCAGAAGTTCACGGACGCGACGCTTCGTCTGTGCGATAGCATATTCGAGGATACGGCCGCGAGAAACCGGAGGAATCGTTCCCCGCATCGGTGATTCTTCGCGCCGTTGTATGCGCAACAATAGGCGGAAACGTCGGCAGTTACAAAAGGAGCATCGGGAGAAAAGGCAGAAAGAAGGGAACCCGGCTGGCCAGTCGGCCGCCAGTAGCGCGGGGGCGATAAAGCATCGAGCCAAATCAAAGATCCGTAGAGAGACGTTAAGGCTGCTGTCTCCGGCAGATGGTATAGGCCGTGAGAGATCGTCCAGATAGTTACGGTACCTGATTAATGCAGGTGGAGATACTCAGGGACACGCGCGCGCGCGCGTGTGTGTGTATGCGTCGCTCATAAATGCGCCAGGAGCGAGTCGTTTGAGAAAGACGTATCAAAGTTCGTATCGCGAAGTCGATCCATTATCGTAGCATGTTCTTGATATTACCTGGCCTGTGTCAGGTCCATATTGAAACGCGTCAGATCCGCTTGCCGTAATATTTTGCCAGTAACGGTACACAGTGTAGGACGTCAAAAATATAGTTATTTATCGCACTGTGTCATTAACTCATAAAGATCAAATCAATTTGTGGGTTGCTTGCGGAAAGAGGACGTTCAACAATCGACATATGCATCGTTAAAGTAACGTTTAAGATTGAAATGATCATATTTGTACTTTCGTTTAAAAAGTAGAGAATATCAGCTTTATTCACCTTCCATACACAGCTACCTATTGTACACGCGGGCGTGATATCGTTTTAATCTGACGCATTGAGACTTCAGCAAAAAAAGCGTAGGAGGCTCGTGACGGAGCCATGAACGATGTTGCTCGATTACCATAATAATCTCGTGTCGCCGTGTTCGCCGTATGTCGCGACTTGAGAGGCCGTGAACGAATGCGATGCACTTCGAGATGCAGCGCAAAGTGCCCAGCAAGCACCATGCCGATTTCACTCGACAATATACATACTTCTCCTCCAGACTCTCTTCCCCTCTTTATCCGAGACGGACGAGCACTCGAGTGCTATTGTCCAGGTGAGTTTGCATTGTGGATGCCGCGATACCATCTGTACTCACTGGAGAATGCCAGAAGATAGTCCGCTTTGCTCGGGCGAGGCATCGTGGAAATGCGTCTAAGATATATCTCGATATAATCGCGCTGTAATGGCTGTTATTTCAAGCCTTTCAGTCTCATTGAGATGTACGCGCCAAAGAATTGAAAATTTCAATGAAAGCTCTCATGAAAATTTTAAAGAAAGTTATTTCAACGTTGATTAAGATAAATATATAAATTGATGGTGATGGAGATATATTTCGAGTTACGTCACTCTTTATAAATAGAAAATTCGGGATTTGTTATAATTTTGTAACATTAACAGTGGCATTTAACACTTATTTACAGGGGAATAATCTATATATGTATATATTTATTTTGTTCTCTCTGTTTAAAAACCGGAATATAAATAGCAGTGACTATCGACTCAATTATCGATCTCAGATTTCCAAAGAATCTATACGACCATGTAGGGATGGAAGCGACAAGAGATGTCAGCGGTAATCATAAGCTATAGTCGATAAACCCGATACGATTCGTATCGTATTCATGTTACGGTGTTAGAGATATGCAAATGATTATTAATTATTAGCGTGTTGATCGCTATGTCGTCGACACGGTAGACCAGATCGGTGTACCTATGTCCGGAGAGTATCCTCAGATCGGTGAAACACGATAAACTTTAATTAGGGAACGTATTAACGCACCGATGGTGCACTGGGTATATGACGGCGAGCAGCAGCGGCTGAGTGAGTGGTTAGCAAGCAGGTGCACGGATAATTATACGTTTTCCTCGTATATCGTCGCATGCTACCGGAATAATTAAGCAAAACTGATGAGCGTCCTCTCTTTCTCGCTTTACGTCGTCTCCTGCTATCTACCGGCGCCGCTGGACACTGCCGCGTCCAGTACTTTCCTAAAATTTTAATGTATGCACGGAAACCGCCCTGCCCCCCTCCGGCATGAAATTAGCCTTATTATACCCTTTATCTCCCTCCACTTGAGAAACCGGTATCGAAAAAATTAACCCTATGGAATCGGAAGCGTGACCGCAATCGACCAATCATCGTGAGACGATTTCGACAAACATCGGCCGAACTTTGGCGCATCAGAGAGTTTTAAACATCGCACTATAAATGCGAAATTCAGCACTCTTTTTTTTCAAGGGAGCACACATTTCTTTTCGGGCGAACAACGGTTACGTGCTCGGAGCGCGATATTTCTTAATAAGCCGCGATCGTTGGCACGCACGATCGCGATATTTCTTCGGGATCGTTGGCGCGGGCCGAGATACGTGCCACCGCGTTCTCGCGAATGCACCATAAATATCTAAATAGCGGAAGTAAGAAAAATTACGTATTTACGGCAGTCGTGCCGGCAGAAATAGCGCCAGGACGCTCGATTGTGTTTTGTTCGTGGCGATGTTTCGTGAGAGGTACAATTTTCCGGGACTGCTCCACACCAGCTCTACGGACGTGATTCATTGTCGTTTCTACGAATTCGAAACAAAACAGACAGAGAGAGAGAGAGAGAGAGAGAAAGAGAAAGAGAACTTTTGGTGAACTCGAGAGAACATTAGATCAAGAAATGATGATAACATTCTAGATGCTGTTGTTCACATGTACCACAGAAAAATCTCTTTCTGGTACTTTACGACATTTACATTGACACCAAACAACAAAGAAGAATAATAAAAACTATTTTTATTATCGTTATTATTAATCCAAAATTGCCACACGCACAATGATTGTAAAATATACATTATACGCATTTTCGTACTTTTTTAATATTTAAATATTTTTTACACACACCGCTTTTAAATACATTTAATATTATTACCGTTTACTAAATTATTAAATAATTGTGTAATTATAAAAAATAAGGACATTGTAATTATCAACTAATAAAATTGTTACATATAACGAAAAGGAGATTCTTTTTTAGATACACATCGAGCCGCGCGCGCTTTGATTTACGATAAGACTTAATCAAGTCTGTCGTTCGGTCGCGAGAAATAACTTCTTCCTAGTCGTCACGAGAAAGAATTACACTTCCTAATCGATTCGAAGAGAAGGTGAGATCAGCACGGCGCGATACATTCTCGGCGAGACGCCTCGTCGTCGTCTGCACGCATAATGGCGATATTTTATCCTCAGTAAGTCACGAGCCTCGGCTGCACGGAGAACGCGAACCAATTACGAGCGCACGATAAATAAATAAACGGTGCCTAACTGCCGCCGGCGATTAAGCGTGATTATGCTCACGCGCTCATGACGCGTAGTTATAACAGGTTGTACTATGAACTTTCGCCGTCGCGACGCGTCGGAATAATTCTCTCTCGACGGTACAAACGTAAAAGGATAAAGCATAATGAACGTCCCTAATAAGCGCGCCACCGCCTGTAAATACATGCTTTGCAATAGCTCGAGGCATCATTTTCGCATATCGGGTCATCAAGCGACAGAACCGATTGTACTGACTCACTATATAACGCTAATTCCGCAAATCTCTTTTGATATTGAGTGATTATAGCAAGAGAATCACACATTAATAACGCTCATAAAATGAGAACATAATTATATATATATAACGTGAAAAACATACATTTTAATCATTTAATTATATAGTGTATTTTAGATGTGTGTGCGCCCACGTGCATTTATATAAAGCGTACATATCAGAATTTTAATGCAGAACTTTAACTAAATTAAGTAAATGTATAAAACATTGACTTTAGTCAAACAGTTCTTAGTAGCGGGAATCTTTTTATATAAAAATAAATAAGAAAATATTAATAAAGAACTCTCAATATAAAAAAAAAAAACTGTGTAACATTATAAAGGCAATAAGAGTCTGAAGAGGGCTTAAACCTAAAGTCAAAACATGTAATGTAATGTATATTTTTGTTAGCTCTATTAAAATTTTTATTTATTATTTAGTATTTATTAATGTTTATTATAATTTAGTTTTTCGAACGTTCTTACTCTTCGACTCTTATTACCTTTAATGTTACACAATTGTTACTTTTTATTGTATAGGTTTGACTTTTTCAATCATTTAGACGCGAAGATAGCTTAGTGAGTAATTATTTCCGAGTCTTCAAGATGATACAATTCAACACGGAAATCACTCGTATTTACTCGATAAGCCTAGTAAAACTCAATATCTTTGGTCAAACACATAATACGTTCTTTCCCTTTTGCTTAACGGGTAATACAAATATATTCAGTCTTTATTTAATTTAGCAGAAAAAAATAAATGTTAAACAAAGTAATAATAAATAATTGATTAATTTTCTTAGGATTGATTTCCCTTGGAAACACTATAAACATTGTAATATGGTTGCGTATTTACCTTGGGGTCGAAGTTGAACACCTGTTCGGGTCTGAGTGGGCACTCGAGGCCACATTTGCAGGTTCCCACTGTCGTCAGATATTCCTTCAGTTGGTCCAGCGAACCCAGCGCCGTACTGCTTGGACTGAAATAGAGAAATGGACAGAATTATTCTCTAACTCTCGCCGCGGCTTAACAACGTGCAAACAAACTATGACGCGTACGCGACGTGAATTGCGCAATGTTTACCGAGCTTAGCGTACGTGTCTTGGTCATTCCTTTTCCCCGCGGTACTAACGACTGCATTTCCATTATTATCACTAGTACGTATTGTAAATAACGCGCTAACCTACAACTACGCGCACTTTGTAATTTATGAAATACACGTGATTCTCTAGAGCTTCTCTTTCGCGACACCTTGTGTGACAGTTTTAAATAAATGACGCATCATTACTCGTTAGGTACATTCATTAATTTGGTTAATACAAGTAAAAAATGCAAAATTACAAAAACATCAAAAATATATACAGAGCGTAAAATTGAAGGGTTCAGAACAGCAGCGGCGTAAAGCTATAATCTGCGAGATTTTACAAACTTCAGATCTTAAGCAGACCTTACAAATTATAGATTTATTCCACTCTCGCTCTGAACTCTTGAATCGGAAATCCAATGCACTACGATAATTTTACATTTCAATTTAAAGCGTAAATTGCGAACGCCCGACCGTTGCCGGTGGAATAAATTACAGGTTAAACACTACTTAATCGAGGCAGATGCTCGCCAGACATCTGCAAAAATTACCGGGAAGTTCGAAACGCATCAGAGATGCTGTACTACGATATACGTACTTATTAAATTCCGCAAAAAATACAATGCACAAAGAAGATTGCAAGGTTTTACTTTTAATTTTGTAAAAAAAATTTTCTAATGCAAATAATTACATATTTATTATCCGTGTATTTAAAAGAGCTTACAATTAGTGATCTTTTTTTCCTTAAGCATTAAATAAATCGGCATAAAAAAATTGAGCGTGTCCAACACGGTTAACCACTTTCAAATTCTATCTGCCCTATCGTCGATAATAACCGTAGACTATCCAATTGAAAATACATTAAGCGGGCGGTTTACGGGAAAGGTATTCTAAGGTAGTCCTTGCAAAAAAGATGTTCGAGGATGCTGGCCGCGTAATCGGCTTCGTGATGAAAAGCGATCAAGTCTGAGAGCATTTCAGGGGAGAAACATGAGGTAGGCGTATTATAATTTGGTCGGCCGCCCCTTCATAAGGGAGGGGAGATGGAGCAAAAGGGGATGCTTTATTAGCTAAAGATACTGCTTGTCTGCCGGCTATGCCTGAAACGAACAAGTAAACCGGGATTCTCGCCGATGGTTCAGGATAAACCGACAAGGTGAAACGAGACAGGGGTCGTCGCCTGTATATTGATTACCTGGTGGAGAGATAGAGAGAGAACAGACTTTGTTTCGGGGTACTTTGCAGCTTCCTAAACTAATAACCGCGAGCGGCTCGTCCTCAGCATTATAACCCCGCGGGAAAAGGCGAGAGCCTCCCTTTCGTCCTGCGGGAATCCTCACGGCAATAATTTCTCACGACAACAAGACGGATTCGTAAACCCACCTTGGCGCTAATTTGTGTTCAATTTGATTTGTACGCTCTCCTTCCGTTTCCTCCTTATCATTTTACCTATACAATATGTGCGCGGTAAGAGAGAGAGTTTGCAAATTATTGAAATTTATATTTTCACTTAACGATAATTATTATCTCAGATTTATGGTTTCCCGTTATCTTAAATGGATAAAAGTTTGTTAACATAAATATCGCCTTCCTAATAACGATCATACTGCTAGTTACGTTAAAGATCAAGCTTCCAGAGAATAAAGAAACAAAGTGATCGAATTAACAGCTAATAATTCATTAATTATTTTTAGAAATTCAATAACTTTGCAATTTTTGCCACGAGAATGCCTCGAAACATAAAGTTAGCAGACAAGAGGAGTACCTCGATAATAGTTTTCATCGTAAAATCCACTTTCAAAAGCGCCACTTACGTACAATTATCTTAACCGCATAAAGCGCGCGCAATCTGGAACTGAATTCACTACTATACCAAAAAAGGAATAAACTGCAACGAGATTGAGCAGATTTGGGGGTCGCCCGAGAGCAGCTAACCGGTGTGCTTCACTTTGTATATACTATAATAAATAATTCGGTAACGCCTTGGCAAAAGTTATTTTCCGTAGATGGAGTGCCGCCGCCGCCGTCGTCGCTACCGTGAAACGGCGACCGAATCTGAATGTACAGTCGCGTAATACCATAAATAAGGGCAGGCAGACTTCCTCCCGTTTCCACCGTCCGTGCGAAGTGCGTTGGAACGTGTTGCCAGTAACAGGGAAGAGAGAGACACCGAGTTACGCCGGATGAATTATGTTCACCGGCACGGCTGGCTAAGCCGCTTGTCCCTGTAAAGTACATGGCCACCACCGCCACTGTTGCCGTCCACGAAACCGGTGTCAGCTTTTCCTCCTTCACCACCCTTTCGCGCGTCCCTTTTTCCGGCCCTTTTCGCCATCCGCCACCGCGAAATCGCGTAATTATTCTTGTTTTCGAGGATGGCCAGCACCTGGTGCAACTCTATTTGGAAATACGATAAGTCCATCGCGTGAGATGTGTTGGAGGACTTGCTCTTTCTCCAATTGTCTCTGATAGCATACCTCGGGAGTGCCCAGAACCGCGACGAAAATTTTATATATATATATATATATATATATAATAAAGCACATGCTCGGATTATTTAAATTTACGACACACTCGAGGATAACGACCCCTCCTCTGTTATGGAAATATTACGGGGACACGAGGGGCGTGGATGGATGGCAGAACGAAAGTAATATCTGACAATTTAATTGAGTTAATTAACAAGCTGTTCCCGCTCGTTTCGGACCATTGCTCATTCCGCCAACGGGAAGCGGTGTTGCGGCAATGTGCGTTGTGAGGAAGGTAAATCAACCCCCGGATAAGTAGGCTCGTTTACAGGGACGCGGCAATTGCCACCGGCTAAAGAGGCCGCGTTATACTTGAAATATCATCGGTGGGGACTAAGACCGCATCTAAAGACAAATGCTCGATTAAGAGGGTAGCTTTTCAGAGACTGTTATTTTTAGGGGGAAACTGACGACTTTGCCGGGTCGTTAGTTTCTTAATTAGAAAAAAATATCTCTCAGCATTAATGCGCGATCTTGCGATCGATCTTGAAAACTGTAACTCTATTTTTTACATCAAATCCAATTATAACATTAAAAAATTTTGATGTGAGCACACAGAAATGACAATCTTGCTGAAATATAACTTAAACTCGAGTAGAAATAAATCTAGTCGAATCTGATTCAAAACCTAGTCACTGTAGTACCGATTTATATTTTTTTAATTCGTCACTGAATAGTCACAATTGCATATTTTATTTTTAACAGAATTCTATGCTCTACAATTAGTTTTAAATTGAGTTTCAGCGTTCCAATTTTGATTTTTCAATAATATTGTATAAAAAGTCCGCGCGCGGAATTTTTTTATTGTTTTGACAAAGAATTTTAAATCTACGAAAACTGCTACTGTGTAACTGACATTTTTGTTTATATTGATAGGTGTGTTAATTTTACAAATTTATATGGATCTGTAAAGTTAGCATGACATGCTATTAATATATGAAGAAAAAAAATAATGACAGGATTCAACATAGTTCCAATCATTTGCTCGATTGTTAGAAATAATTACCGTTGTTTAATTTTCATACTGATATAATAGTTAATTTCTTCTTCGTTGCATCCTTCGATAGACAACATTGTATCTGCAATTGATTGCATAACTGCAACGGTCAGGTTCCCATAACCCTCGACACCACGACTATACTTCTCGAAGTTGAAAATGATGTTGGCGCCTGGACTATACTTATCTACGATCTATGATCGCTCGCTTACCTTTCGCGTGAGCTTTATAACCGCTCACGGTAACTTGCACGCACACTTGATTGTGTCCACCCGTTAGATACGCGCAACCAATACTAATTTCGACATCGATCGTGAGAATAGCAAGCGTAATCTTTTATTTGTCATATCTCGCGTCTGTCCTTATATTGTTCCGAGATTGCAAATTAGATTCCCTCGAGAATACAATGGTGTAATTTCATAGCTACAAATTGCATAATAATGAATAAAAATATCATCAGTGATGTGTTAATATAATGTAAATTAATAAAAATCCTCAATATGTAACGCTTCGAGAGTAAGTATTTGTAAAACAAACTTACAGCATCACCATCTCGCGTTAATCTCATATAACCGCGTCACGTACAAACATTCGATATCGCAAACATTAATTATTATTGAGATTTTAACGCGCTTCACGGTCCACGTTTGCGTCATTAAATGCGCAAGGGGACATCACGTCAGTGAGAGAGAGAGAGAGAGAGAGAGATCAGTAGACAGAGAGATCGTGTTGAAAATGCTGTAGCGACTCGATGCAATTATAATTCACGTTAACAATGCAGCTACGTTCTGCGCGATTCAATCCGCTGTGCAGCTATTATCAGCGAGCTCGCAGTTACCGCAATTGAGTATCGCCCGCGTGTGGCGGATAAGCGTGACGCCGTAATAGGAAATTCGCGAAACGCCCGAAATTGTTAATCCGCCATGCGCTTTAAACGAAGGTCACTGCAGTAAATCGTCCAAGTCGCCTCCCGGTAACAATAACCGCCGCGTCGCCGCGCGATAGAGAGTGACTGAAACGCCAATTGGAATTGGCTCGTAATTCGCGCCCGTTCCGGCGGATGGCTCGGCCCGATAATTACCGATCGGGGATAAATTTATGACAGCAATAATTTACGCGGAAACTGCGGCCGACTGGCTCGATAAAGAGCGATTAACTATAAAATGAAACTGCCGCCATCGGACGCGTCGCGGCATTTGTCCGATGTTGCTTCGTTGCCGGAGTTGAGCGCGAAAGCGCGAGTGCGCGAGTGCTTACGTGCGTGCACATGCACGCATCATCGAATATGCAATCAAAACCAAACCGATAAGCTTCGCGCGGTGCTCCGACTCATCGCGATAACGATGTAACAGCGCACGCGGAAATGTTACGTCATTTCACTCGATATCTAAATATTTTGCCAGCAGCAAAAACATGTTTTATATTATTAGATCGTATCAATCTCAACTATCGATCAATACTAAGAATCGTTACGTAGTGTTTAGTAAGAATTTTTTAATGCCTTCATCGCGCTAGAAACGTTTTCAGCCGCAAGCGAAGAATAATCATTCATGATAATCGCGTATCGAGAGAGAAGCGACTACGAATTTATTGCATGAATAATGAACCATAATACAGGACGCGCGCACAATGTATCGTAATGTGCGGGAAAAGCACAACGTTAATATTAAATCACAAAAGTTTAAGTGACAGAGATGATTCAAATTAATTTGACCATCGGTTTTCATCATCTATACTTAAAACACGTTAAAGTGAATAATTGCATTCCGAGTCGCTTTATCGGCGGCTTTGTGAGAGGCAATTAATCGGCGTGCTCGCCATTTTCGACCGATTCATGCGACTACGCTATCAAAATCAATAACCGATCCGTAATGTGATTCGTACCACACTACCCGCTGGCGTTTTGCGCTGTACGCCTGTCACGAAATCAATATTCAATTCGCAAGATCGTCGTTCGAACAGTGTTCTGCGCCGCTGAAACCGATAATCGATTCACAACATCGTTCGCACAGGTCTGCATTTTGCTTCTCACCGAAATCGCAAATGCAAATCATGATAACATTGGTACCTGCGATCGATTGCGACATTCATTAGATTCTGTCGAAACGCGATACACTATGAAATGTATGGCCGAAATAATTGAAGGATATTAAACGTCATGCCCCTTAATGACGTTAGGGTAATGCCAGTATCGATTCGAATGCTTTCCATTCGAATAACAAAAGCGGCAGAGATTTTAATGAGAATATAACACGATAAGTATTCAGACTAATTTCATTCTTCGAAACTCATCGTATCGCGACTACGATAGTTTTAAAACAATTTTCCACACGAATCTTGAATCAAAAATTTATTATATAAAATCATTTTCTGGACCAACAGGATTTTCTGCGTTGCGTAATAATAGGATATGTTAAGTTAGCACCCCAACTATAGTACTCAGGAGTTCTGGTTAGAGTTCCCACTTCCTTTTGACGAGACGAAGAGTTCCCTATAGCTAATAACAAGAGTTCCGCTCAATAAACATTTTCTTTACATTTTTTAAAAATGGGGTGCTAATTTTCTATCGAATTTCGAGGTGGAATAGTTCTGAGCGGCTTAATAGCTTCAATTTGCGATTGCCTAGAGTTCCTGATATGTAAAAAATATTTTTGAATATTAAAAAAAAAATTAAAAATTTTTGAAAAATTAATTTTTAGATACAATAGTTCTGATGATAATAATATGTCATTAAAAATCATAGAGAACTCTTCGTATCGTCAAAAAGATGCAGAAATTATAATATCACATTTCCAAAAAGAAAAACATTAAAATTCGAAAAAAATGTATTATTTTTTAAACGTGTAATATAAAAAGTGAAAAATTATGATGTGTAAAAAATAAAAGAAATATCTTGAAAAGTTGCATTTTGTCAAGAATTTATTTATTAGCTAGGAGCTTGGGTTTATACTTCAACGTGATCATCATTTGATTAGTCATCTATGTTATGACTATGTTATACGTCATTATCTACATTCGTATCCTCGAATTGTTTATCAATGATCTATTTATGTCGGTGTACCTTACACCTCGAAAAACGATCTCTATCCGCGGGCGAAGCAGCGATACGATATTATCGAAAGGAACGTACGCGCGAGTCTTCGGTACATAGCTGGGGGAGCGAATAATTTTCGACCACGAAAAGTGAAACGTTAACGGCGTCCGATCACGAATCGCTCGTTTCCTCCGGGTGTTTTGCACTTTTCTGCATGCGAGTGAACCGGACGAGGTAGAGCCTGAGAAATGGGGGAGCAGTGGAGGACGAGGAGGGTCGAAAGTCGAGGTCGAAGAAGAGAGAGAAGGAGGGAAATGTTTCATGAGTCGGATCGAGCGCAGATTGCAGTCATTTGCCGACATAAATTGCACGACCGGATAATCGGGCAGAAACGAAAGCGGTCGCGGGCGCGTCGGAATCGCCGCGAATCGGCCGAAATTCCGGAACGAGCGAGCGAGCGAGCCCCTCGGAGCGGCGCGAATTATTGCTTTCACCGAGTTGTAACACATGAACGAGCACTTTCCGCTACGGGGAACGCGTGTACTTCCAACGGCGTTCGCGGCCGCTCACAACTGCATCCCCATCGATGATGGTTCGAAACCGCTATTTGTTCAAACGAATTGACCATGCGTTCCACATCGTGTTTCCCGGTAACGAGTTTATCTTGTATACGTAACTCTACGTATGCCGTAGACGCCTAGCCTACAACTTTTAATAATTTATTTAAACAACGAACACGTGTGGGAGTCGGTCACTTAGTTACTCGCGGAAGAATA